ATGCAATGACAACTACTACAGTGCATACATGGCACAATTGAAGGCAATTCTCCATGATGGTTTGTGAAAGTTCGGCTTACTCTCCAGCGTCAGGCACAGAGCAAGATCTTTCTTTCCCACAACATTTAGCCTTGACTAGCCCAAGGCCTCATTTAGGGGAAAGGCCCAGAAGGAGGCTTGTTAATTACTGGACTAATTGGCCACAGGGCTGGCTCCTTGATGACACAATTATCAGGAGACTTATAAAGGGAGGGGAATACAAGATGATGATACAAGACCCAAGGGAGTTAGGTTGAATCATTGAATTGTGGGTGGCAAAATAGGAAGAGATAACCAGGAGCTATTATTAAAGGTATATACAACATTTGCTTTTGCTGTAATTTTTTTTAGAAACTACAGCAAAATTCCTGGATCCACCCCTACATGTGTATCCCCGAACTTGAGTAGTATCCTTAAATTTCTCAAGAGAAAAAACTATAACAAGAATCAGTTTATAGGAGTTTTTATTTAGGAATAATTTTCACAAGGGTAAAGTACATCACCATAAAATTGCACAAACTGTATGCTTTACACTGGTAAACAGACACTCATCCACATAAACAGAGACAAATTGACTGGCTCCCGGCCTCCACCCAAAATGAACCTTGAAATGTCCCCTCCAGATGCCCCCCACCCAACAACCTAACCACGCCTTTCAAGAGGATATGAACAACAGGAAACACTTATACTTCACAATAGGGGAATCTTTTTCCCTTGAGAGTTCCGCTAAAAGAGAGAAATAATGAAAAAATCTGAGCAACGGCATCAGAAGGTGGACCAATGATTAGGAAGTTGGAATGAAATAGCTTCCTGGCGTGTAAATTGCCTCAATTTATTTTCATTTAGTCGCAGGCCGATGTTGGTTTTATTGGTTATTTGTTTAAAGCCGAGAAAATTAACGTTTCCTTCGTGGTCATGATTGATTTTTGGAGTCGTTCAGAGTGACTTTTTGGCATGATTCACGGCAAGAAGTTTAACAAACATGTTTAAGGAGAACCTAAAAAAGTACTTTCTTTGACACAATAATCATGTACATGTACACAAAACATGTAGTACTTTGTACAAATGTCTCTAAGTGCCTCACAATTATTAACTAGTTCATCAGTCAGACATCAGTTTTTATTGCAGCAAGATTGGGATCGTCGCAATCTCTGTCCTGAGTGGAAAAGGGGGATTGTGGTAAAGTGTCTTGCCCAAGAACACAAGCACCTTAATCCCTGTTGAGGTTCGAACCCAAGTTACAGTGTACACAAAAAGGGCACTGTATTAAACTATTGATCACGGCGTCAAAAAACAATGGGAGTTGTTTACCGAACTATAGCTTCCAAGGGATGGAACCAAAATCGGAACAAAGCCAAGATTTGAAAAATGGCACCACTCTATCTCTGTGCAGTAGACAACTAGATCACAAATTTGTGCCAAACTTCCTTAATCGCTTCCCCACATTCCGGGACATCTGTATTAATGAGTTGTCTTAGGCCTTTGGCCGACGGCTCAACGGGGATGTCAAAGACATTGTTATTTCCTGGACCGGATGATTTATGGCCAATTTCCGAGGGTTGTTTTGACGACTCTCTTGAGCTCGGGGAAATAATAATGTGCTTTTCCTTTCAATTTTCAAAATGTTTGAGCTGATGCACAATAAAAGAATTATAAGGTCAAAGATGCAACCAGAGGACACACCTATGTAAACAAAAAGCGGGTCCTGTACGTGTAAAAATTCAACAATTAATTTAAGATATTTTATTTTGTAAAAACTTCTGGTTAGTGGAGTGGTATCCAGACTTCTCCCAAAACTAAAGCAATAACCCCAGTCTGGTACACTGCTCTGTGGTATCCTGACTGCTCTCCACAGAAACAAATCTAAAAACAACCATAGTCTGGTGCATTGCTTAGTGGTACCCTGACTTCTCTCCAAAGAAAAAAAAGGTAACAATAACCCCAGTCTGGTGCACTGCTCTAAGGTACCCTGACTTCTCTCCAAAGAAAAGTTAACAACAACCCCAGTCTGGCACACTGCTCTGTGGTACCCTGACTCCTCTCCAAAGAAAGTTAACAACGACCCTAGTCTGGTGCAATGCTCTGTGGTACCCTGACTTCTTTTCCTGAAAAAAAAAGCTAATAATAACCGCAGTCTGGTGCACTGCTCTGTGGTACCCTGACTTCTCTCCAAAGAAAGTTAACAACAACCCCAGTCTGGTGCACTGCTCTATGGTACCCTGACTTCTCTCCAAGGAAAAAAAGTTAACAACAACCCCAGTCTGGTGCACTGTTCAGTGGTACCCAGACCTCTCCGCAAACTAAAAAATAATTAACAACGACCCCAGTCTGGTGCATTGCTCTGTGGTACCGGACTTCTTCCCAAAGCAAAAGCCGACAAGAGCCCCTTTAAAAATTCACACCTTGTTATCTAATACGGTACTACTTTCCCTTCCAGTGGCCAGGATGTGATTTTATACCCTAATGTCACGCTCTGTGATTTATGACTTGTCGCTCTGGAGCCTGGGTAATCATCATGTTTCTTGGCATTGTCCTTGTGAAGAAATGAAGGAAAGTGTTGGGTAAGACGATCTTCTGTGACGACTGAGTTAGGGATCTGCTTTCCTCATTATGGAAGTTCACTGTGTCAATGTGACCATGGAGCTATAAAGCTCCATGATGTGACCCAATCAAATTTAGACACCGAGAAATAATGTGATCTGCTGTAAAAATCAAGCCTCAAATTCAACTTGTGGGCAAGATAAAAATGGGCTTTAACAAAATGTTATGTGGTTTAGCCAGATGTTTTTGATTGTTCAAACTGAGGACCCTAACCCTTTAATTTGTAATTTCAATCACTAGAAGATCATCCAAGCTCAATGGAATTTTAACAAAAATATTAAGAGAATATACAACATTTGCTTTTGCTGTAATTTTCAGAAATGGATTTGGGGGCTAGTATTTTATATTATAAGATGGATTTTTTTAGTATTTTATAGCAAATATTGTTACACTGAACTGTTTAAAGTTTTGTGTTCATAGATGCTGGAAAAACCAAGAAAGAAATGCTGTTTTTTTTTGTAGTCTGGTTCCCTGACCCTACTTCAGACCAAACGGAGCAATTTATAGACGTCTGGGAATTGTCAGTTCAGGGAACCAGACTAGCTGGCTTGCACTCATTTTACGGATGTGTAACCGATTGCAAACAAAATGTGGACTAACTAAATTTGGTAAAGTGGGGGCTGTATTTGAATAAGCTAGTTTTGTTTTCTCCAAAGATGGTCGGCTGACCATCGTTGCAAATTGATACAAACATTCCACTTTTCTTGAAAATGACAGCACACCAGGTGCCATGATTTTACAAGATGCTCAAGACTATCATTCAGTAACAATCCAGTAAGGTATTTCATAATAATTTGGTACTTTTTTGGTGTTTGCAAATGTTGTATTACCTTCAAAAATTATTGCAGTTTATTCCTTAGATAATGTATTTTTTTAGTCATCTTTTATCTTCTCGAAAGAAAAGACAAGGGAAAGGCATAAATGTATTTTACATTTCGAAAAAAATTGACAGGATTTAAAATATATTTCTAAAAGGCGACTCAAAGTGAAACTAAAAATCATGATTCAAATTGAGAGAGACAACGAAAATAAGTTTCCAGAAACTCGAATCAAAACATTTTAAAACAAAAACCGAAACCAAGAGTCTCTTAACAGACTGGGCTCAATGTCCTGATAAGACCAAGCAGGAAGACGGGGAAAAAGTCAACTCTTAACTGAAAATCCTGATGCTATCTGGGCGTTTTTAAACAAAACAGGATCAAGACAGAGGAAATGTGATTAACATCCAAACTCAACTAGACAGCGTGCCCTGTAGGGGGGCTTGAACAGGCAAACGGTTTCAAATAACCAACTGAAATGTCCTGGTGAGGCAAGATAATGAAGCTTTGCACTGGTGTGCATCTAGACACAAAAAAAGAAGAAATCAACTTAAATAATACGATACAGAAATAGGACTGATTTAATATTTACAAATGGCAATTATTTGTACAATTCTTTTTTGGTGGCTGTTTACAATTATATTTTATTGGATCAGATATAGTGACTTGGAATAAATTAATTGATGAATTCAGACTATCCTAAATCCATCAAAATCCATTAAACGGTTTGTAATATTTTGAAGGAGTTAGGACAGTTCAGGTTTCATCCTAGACATCATTACTTCCGGGCTTAATATTCCAATTATGTTTGAAGTTTGAGGTCATTGGTCTAACAGTACACTAAAATTACAGCATTGTTGGATGTGCAAAATTCAGGAAAGGTTTGAGCAAGAACATGCCTAGTAGATTCGGGTAAGGGTTCATTCATAATTGAAATGTTTCTATAAGGAAAACCAACTAGTGTTAAAATTAAAACTGTCGTGGAAGCAAAGTTAAGAGTTTTGTAAGTTTGTGAGCAAGACCTAATTTTCTTGTTTTCAAATTGACAGGAAAAACCATTGAAGGTCGGGACTGTGAGCAATTTAATGGACAACAGATATAAAAAGGAGAAAAAAAAATCAATTAACCTCTACTAAATTCTGGACCATCAGTCTTGTTTCTTTAGTATCATGTTATCTTTCAACAGGATAAAATCCCTGTAATCTCTTACAATTCCTCCCGGACATAAACTAAAAAATGTGAGGGGTACACAGGGCTCAACCATGGCATCCTTGTCCATTCATTTTGTATGGAACATACAGAGATCCTTAATGCAAAAGTTGGAATCACCCCTCGTGATTTCCAGCAATGGTACAGTCCAACAAGAAAAGTTGCTAGGCTCCGCCCACTGCTATCCAGCAGTGATAATGATGAATGGGCCCTGTGTGCTCCCAGCGTGCCTAATGGCTGTCAGATGGTCAGGGCTCCACCCACTGGGCTGTCAGTCAGTGACATTTGCCTGGTGGGGGTGTGCTGGACCATGTACCACACAACCATGTGTAATGCACTTATTATGTGTACAAAACTGCACCGTAGACCACACTCAATCAACATTTTGGCGGTTAGCCTTTCTCTGATGACCACCAAACCTCAGTTTATCACCACTTCAGAATCTGAAGCTACTTGAGTTGGGGCCGCCAGAAAAATTTTGACCAAAAGCTAACATTGGACTGTACTTTGTGGCTGAAGCTTTTGATGTCACTGTCACTGTCTCTGTGCTGGGTGCTTAACTCTAACACCAAGCCAAATCAAGGAATACTTGCTCGATTGAGTTGGATTTTTTTATCGGTGGAAAGGATTTGCTATTTCCTCATCAAAACCTGCCGTTAAGTGGAGCTGGAGATAAGTTGAACAAGCTCTGCCTTACCCAAAAAACGCTGATCCAGTTTTGGCAGTTGGAGGGGTAATGACAGATTCTCTGGGCAGCCGAGTTTTCAAAAGACGGTTGAGATAACTTGCTCCTGAGTTAAACTGGAACTTGGAGAAGTCTTACATTGATCATCTTTTCGGATTTGATTTGAGAGACACCGCAGTGTGCTTCGGAAATGGAGGCGACATTAATGTGGGCATTGGTCACGACCTTGGTTTGCGGTGGGGGTCTAGTTGGAGCTAATCCCTTCAGGGTCGAGCCGCAGGACGCCACGGCCGCATTGGGAGAAACTGTGGTCCTGCCTTGTATTCTCCGCAATACCACCCTGTCGCACTGTAACGTGTTCTGGTATCGCTCTGACGAACAGATCTACATCAGCCGCAACCGTCGCATCATCGACCGTTTGTCGCCCGAGGTCCGTGAGCGCTACTCCATCCTGGGCAATCGTTCCAGCGGCATCTACTCTTTACAGATTCGTGACCTTGTTGCGAGCGACATGGGCGAGTACAAGTGCACGTGCTTCCCGCGATCACACGCCAATGCCTACCTCTCACCCCCGGCGGCGATTTTTATCGTCGCAAGGCCTCCGGAGGAGTACCCAGTCTGTCGACTACGTGAGGGAACTGGTCCTCTGATGGTCGGGCAGAAGGTATCCTTTCTGTGCGAGTCAGTCGGTGGAAGACCGTCCGTTGCTCTGCAGTGGATGCGAGGACAGGAGAACATTGCGGCCGATTTCACCTTCAACCCGCACTCCATCAGCGTGTATCGCAAGACGCTGACTCTTGAAGACAGTGAGGAGGTACTGACCTGCGTAGCGTCTGGACTGGCAATGAAGACGCCACGCAACTGCACCATCGGTCCTCTGAGCGTCATCTCACCGCTCCAGATCCAGACACAGAAAATCATCGCCAAGCACGGCACGCGCGAGGAGTCTCCGCGCATCGTGTTCACGTGCAACTCCAACGTGAACCACACGGGACTGGCCACCGTGTACAATTACACATGGTACGCCAACAGCGTTAGGATTACCGCTGCGACTCCAGGGTTCAATCTTGCAAGTGATGGCATGTCCGTCCAGGTGACGGATGTATCGTTGTTCTCCCAGAACATTCACATCATCTGCGCGGCCCACGGAACCCAGGGCTCTCTCGGCAACGTCAGCACTTTTTTGGACGTGGACAGCATCGCAGGCTTCACGGCCATCCCAAGCGACGACCCCACCAAAACTGACCCGCCAAACAAGGGTGTTGTTTCTATCTCCGGAAATCAATCTTTTGACATACGACCCTTCATCTACTTAGTCCTTGGTGCTTTCGTCCTGATGACTACCATGATCGCAATCGTAGTCTGCACTCCGCGTTCGTGCTGCCACTCCAAAACCGGTTCCCGACTCCGACGCCGGGACTCCCGATTCACCACCATGCACTACGTCCAGCAGCCCACCGGTTCCCCGGCCCGGGCCATTGCTCACCAGGAATCCCTTAACTTGTACGAGTCCACTGCAGACAGCGACACCGAAAGCACGCGGCAGGGTGCGGCCACGACTTCCCTCACGCAACAACAAAAGCAACAGGTGCAAGCCACGCTGCACGTCGTTGTTCACTCCGGTAACGATCCCAACAATCAGACCATGCCGAGAGGTAACTCGGGGACTTTCGGGGACGACCAATCCTCCATCTACCAAGAGGTGCCTCCTCCTCCGCCTCCCCCGCCCCCTCACGCCAACACCCTCCGGTTCCACCCTCCGAAGACCTCCTCCAGTGCCGGTCTCCGAACCCAAACCTGGGGTCACTCATCCTGCAAGAGCAACCCGTTCAACTACGAGCACATCCCTTCGGACCTGATGCACTACGATCATCTCGGAGGATGCTACGTCCATACCCTACCCATGCGACCCACCAGACCGTCGGTTCACCAGAAGTTTCTGTATACTCCGCAGTACGCCGCACTGAACAAGTTTCACCATCCCCATCAGGGAACACATGGAACAGTGGAGAGCATGTATGAGAACGTACCCATGCATCACGCTCGGAGTCTTTCACTAACAACTGGATACTAAAACAGAGGACATGTTTCTATAGACATGCATACTTTGTAAATACGCAGACTTTTAAAACAGGATGTATTATATTGTGTACATATTTGACAAGTTACATTTTAAATATAAACAAACATCTTGAAGTTTCCTCACCTTATACATTTTTACTGACCTCAAACAAAGTTTGTATGTTTGTTCTGTGAACCAGAAAAAAAATACAAGAAAAATACATGTACATTTGAAAATGCATTTTTACTTTCTTGTTACATGTGGTTTTTTTTGTAGTACTGAGATTAAAAGTTTGCTCTATTAAGGTTTTTTTCACAGAATTATGCTATGTATTGTGAATCTAGACCAGAAAAAACTAATCGAAAAAAAACAACAAGTCGAGCACAGTAACTGGTTCACACGTACTGATTACCGATGTATATTTGACAAACTAGACATCATGTGTACAATCTCTTTAAAAAAAAGGGGGAACTTAGGAGTTTGGACAAAATTGAAAAACAACTTTTGTTTGTGACTTTGGCCTTTTCAGGGCACATTTCTCTCTATTTTGTTGTTGTTGTTGCTGGGGGAGAGAGGGGTCGCTGGATTGTACAGAACTGTTGAAAAGTGTGTATTCTTCATATTGTGTACATGTACAGTGCGTGTATAATTCTAAATTATTTTTAAGTGTTTTTTAAAAAATCGACCCGATTATTAGGCTCGAAATGCCACTCTTTCAGTCTCTTTTTCAGTGAGTGGAATGTGCAAATAGAGAATCCAAACATCTACTGGGCCACCAAGGCCAAAGGAGGCCAACAGTGGTCTCATCAAAATTCCAAGCCTGAATTGTGGACTTCAAAATATTTGTCAAATTCTGTCATTACAAATAGCCAGAGGGCGAAAATAGGGTCAGACGTTTCCATATTTATTTGAACAAAAACGGATGTTTTCTGTCAATTTTTGACTGACAGTGCATTCTAAATTTGTGAAGGAACTGGACACTTTGTACTTTAACATTTAAAACTGATTGTTCTAGTTCATTTTGCTAAAGCAGTTTTTGTGTCAAAATGCACCGTCTTCAAAGTTCACACCAACCACATTTTTACGGTAACGAGTAGGCCTAATCTTCGACACATCAATGACTTGTTTTCTGTTACTATGCATAAGTAACAGCACATGTACTGTAAGACTTTTACATACATTGTACTTTATATTACATGCCAGCTGATAAGCATTGAGGAAAACAAACAAGAAAACTTAGAACTAAGTATTAAAACACAATATTTGTCCTAACTACTAGAAACTATTTTTCAATTACTAGAAATGTATGCATCACTTTTCTACTGAAATTAAGAAGCTCTAGAATTGTTTTGAATAACCGTGACAGTTGTTGATGTTTTGCACGAGTAGAACTTTACTCCTTTGTGTACTTTATCTAAATAACGTAAATGATGTACAATGTACATGTACAATTATCCTGTATCATTATCATGATTATCAAGAGTGGGTTTATGACAGTTTTTACCATTAAAAATAGTATTTGGAGAAAACTTCCAAGTTTGGATAGAAGACTGCTTCCACGTTCTCTCACTTTTTTTATACTAGAAGTGCTGGCATATGTGTACACAGATGCTAAAAAATAGTAAATAACAATCTGCGCACCCAATTACACTGGAGGCCCCCTTCAATGATGAAAGCATTGTGCTAGGTTTTTATAAGATGGAATTTTTTAATCAAATTAGGTTTTACCGTTCACCGACGTATAAACACTGTATACTCAGTGTGTTACCTCCCGAGTGAAAGTTGGAAAAAATCACTCGGGTGGGACTCGAACCCACGACCTCCTGCTTTCTAGTGCAGATGTCTTACCACTCGACCACCGAGCTTATGGGATCGGTTGGCCGGTTCGAATCTGATGTACATAGCAGCGGGTACCGCATTAACTATTCATAAGATAGAATTTTTGCGTCGGGGTGATGTAAATCAAATTAGGTTTTGCCCTTCACCATGGTATAAACACTGTATACTCAGTGTGTTACCTCCTGAGTGAAAGTTGGAAAAAATAGCTTTTGAACCTTTTGTTCAGATAATCTGTCAAAGGGTAGTCAATTTGTACAATAGCGTGCACAATGCTTTTATCACTAAAGAGGGATTCTGTGACTGTACAGTGGTAGCGTGCTTGGATGTGGCAGGACAGGTTCGATATCTCAAAGGCTGAAATGCAAATTAATGGACGGATCCTTTTGGGAGTTGTCAATCGGCAAGAATGCAATATGTTGAGGGGGGGGGGGGGGGTAGGAATGCAAGGAAAAGTCAACGGCTTCCGAAAACAGACACCGGCATTAAACTTTTACGAGTGATCGGTTCCAGTTTCACAGCATCATCTGTGTGTATTGCGTGTTGGGTCGGATACCGGTTGGTTTCAGATAACGGTTGGTGTACATATTGTACAGATTTTTCAGCAGTCAACATTTTCTGCAGAAGGTGTGAAACGGATAGAAAACATGAATGTCGCACTTGGCACATTTGATACCTTATTCTAGTTTCAGGAAAAATTTACGCTAAAGTAAAAAAGTAATCAAATATTTTTGGTGAGTGAGTCACCTCAGATAAATTTTTCAATTTTTTTTTGTTCGTTAGACCAGTTCTGTTGATGCAAACTTTTCAATGGATTTTCCATTTTTTTTTTCACGGAGCCCATATGAAATTCTCATTATATGCAAAAATGACGTGTTAAACAAGCTTTTTGCAAGCTGAAGAATTGCCGAAAACAACAACTTAATAAGCATTTGGGATGATATAGATAAGCGAAACAGACTATTTTGGGGTGGAGATAAGATTGTCAAAAGGGGATGGGTAAGACAATAACTCTTTAATTTTGCCAATTTGTCAAAATTGTAGAGCAAGGCTAAAGTTGCTCAAAGAGTTAAAATAAGAATTATGTCAAGTATTTTAAGGTTACTACAAGTAAATACTAAATCAATCGAAGAGCACGCCCAGGTTTTTACTTTTACCGTGCCCTTAATTTGATTCTAAGCACCAGGAACGCGGCAGTCATTTACTTCACCTCGTTGACTTTTATGGAGCCTTTGCAACAAATATTCTCAAATATTTAAGATGATCAAAAGTTGTCATCTTTTTGGCATCCCTATGGCAAATGGTCCCTACCCCTCCCCCTCCCCCCCCCCCAAAAAAAAAACCCCACCAACAACAACCAAACAAACAAACTAACATTAAAAAAAAATCACGAATTAAAAAAAAAAAATTAATTAACCCTTACTCTCTGAGGGTAGTTTACTGCATGTCAGTTGGTTATGCCAATGCCCTCCAGCTGCAGTTATTTGGCAGATAACAAGTCTTAACAGTGAAGGCTCCAATTGGCAGGAGTTGGAGGCCCTGGAGGGTGCCTGATACTGACCAGCTGGGGGCACTCACTTTGTTATCAGAGGACTCTCATTGTTCTCTGTGGCATGTATTGGAGTGCCTGTCCAGTTACCCTTGAAATGACATGGCAGATATTGGAGGGCCATGCAAAAAACATAGGAGATTTTCTTGAGGCACAATTGGCATGCGTTGGAGGGTCAAGTAGGGTAAGGGTTAATTAAAGCTAACAACCCTGAGAAAGTCAGATCATATTATATTCACCTCATCCAATGACAAAATAAACAAGTTCGCTTGCCGGAACATTGAAATTTCCACATGCGGCTTTTGTGAACTGCAGGCCTGAGCTTCAACATGATCCATTATCTGTCATTCAGGGAAGTTTAATTGACCCACTTTTTTTTACGGAATGTATCAATTTCCTGTTGTCTCATTTTGTAATTAACCAATGCATGAGAGTATGCCCCACTACTTCATCCATTGTGGTCGGCGCAATGAAAAGAAATCAACCGTGCATTTGTCCTGTTCTAGTTTGAACGACACACGTTTCATCATTTGGCAGGTGATGTTATTGATATCTTGTTTTCGGAGTGTGCAGGTTCTACATTTACTCTACGCCCCCTCCCCACTCAACATCTGTTTTGTGTTATCTGCCTTACTTAGAGTAGAAATGAATTAAGAACTCATTTTGCATGCTCCAGCGAAGCGTACTCTTTTCATTGATGAATTTTCGAGTTCATTTTTTTTTTCTCTTCGTGTATGCAACTGCGGTGAGTGATTGTTCATGCAAGCAGGGAAGTTTTGTGTGAAAGATGAAAACAATTGTCTTAACATCAATTCCTTTTTAAAATTCCCTCTTAGAATTCACTCTTTAAAAATCCCATCTAACATCGTCCGCCCCAATTGTTACTTTGAGCTCAACTGTCTTACTTTGAGTTCAACTATGCCCTTTATAACCATTAAAAAAAACAAATTGGGCTGAAGGGTTTTGAAGGACAAAAAAACTATGTAATAATAAAAACATGTACCTTTAACCCTAACCTTCCCAAAACCCTCTAAAATCCTCTTTGCAAAATTTTGCAGAAGTGATGCTATATGGCCAAAATGTGGGGCTGATTTTGGAGGATGCACTGTGTCAAGGTCTTGGGCCGGACCTTGTGTGTTTATGCTCAGCCGTGCATAACTTTAGGCCTAGATTATATTTGAAATCCTCTGCACTGCTCCAGGATGTCACTGGCTCTGCCTCAACATATTGACAGTGATTGCTGGAGGATTTTGCAGGATTTGAAGCAGTGGTCACCCTTCCAAGGACCACATTCAAGAAAAAATGGGAGGATTTTGCAAGGTTGAGGCTGTATGCTACTTTTACATGGAGGCAGTTAAAGTATTTTGCAGGATGAGGTTACATCCTGGCAAAAATGCCTAGAAAGTTAGGGTTAATCACGCATTTTCACCCCTTGATAATATTGAACCTGACTTTGTTTCCCCAAAAAAAGAAATTCTGGAACATTTTCAGTTTTTCCCCAAGACCCTGAATGTCCAGAACAAAATTGTTGTGCCTCTGACTGTACAAATAAAGGACCCCAGCCAATTTAACATCATGTGAATGTGTAGATATTTCTGAACTTTAGTCAGTTGATGGCAAAGTCAGACAATAAACATCTGCCTCTGTATTTTCAGAGCAACTACATCGGCCAGAAAGAAAAGTGCAGCCAACTATTGTTTTACATAACAAAAAACCTCAAGTATTATTTCCAGAGTCTTGCAAATACATTCTGTATTATTCCAGAGGCCAACTGATGATCATACAAGCTGAAAAAAATGGCCAGCGACTGTTTTAGTAAGTGGGACATTCTCAAATTTGATAAGAAATCCACGGCAAAGTATCGCTAGGAATGCCATCGCTATCTGCTTATCTCTTTTCCATCCTCCAAAAATCTCCTTTCGCAGGCTGGTCAAGTTTACCATGCGCGTGGGCTGTTATGATAAACCTATTCATGTCCA